ATATCTATGGCAATTACAATTTAATGAGCGTAATACATGCAGATTTAAATTTCACTTACAAAAGAATAAAAGAGAGTTTTTAAACATTATTATTGGTATATTTATTTAGGTTATATAGTATATTATAAATATATTATCATATAATAGTATATAATGGAATATTTTTTTCTTTATGGGTATATATGATTTTTTTCTGTTTACAAATACAAAATAAAACCCTTTCCCATTCAATTGAAATTATCGAATCAATTCAAAATATCCAATTCCAATTCCATTTTCATTTTTCAACCGCTCGCTCTTTGGCCTCCGTGAATCATGGCTCCGCCCGTCAACAGCCTACCCTGGCGCCGCTCAAAGCCTCAGCCTCAACCAGTTAACCTCCTCCTCCCTCGATCATGCTTTGTAAGAGCCTCTGTCTAAAGTTCTGATTCGTAACCTCATTCCAGTCCGTAACCTCCGGCAACAATCAACAACCAGCATAGTAGAAGAAGAAGGTCTAATTCCTCTGAAGGTAAAGCCCCAATTTTCAAATTCCACCGACCCTGAGTGGTTGATTTTGTCATTAACTCATCTTGAAGCTTTTTTTTCCTTTTTTTGTTATTCTGATTTGTGTGATTTGGCTTTTTTTTGTTTTTTTTAAATATGGAATTAGCAACTCTTCAGTTGCTCGAACACTGGAAGCGGCACTATCACTGCCTACACTGTGAGTTACTTACTCTCTGTCACTAGAATTTTGAAATAGTATATATTGCCTTGTGAATGAAATTGTGAATATGTGAATTGATGAATGTGTTGGCTTGTTACCTTGTGAATTGTGAAATGTGAACTGCTTATAGTATTGGTATTGCTAGGTGAATGGAATTGTCTTGTGAATTGCTTTGCTTAGACTTTGCATAGAGTATTGTCGTAATATTGTTTTATTTTTTCATCATTGTTAAATCTATTACGCCATCATCTGAACCACTTCGAAAAGTCTGCCACTGTGTCATATGAGGTCTCTAACACCCATCCGAAGTGGTCCGAAGAGACTCCACCACTAATGTTGGCGAGATGCTAACGCGCTGCAAGGCACAAACAATTCTACTGAACCAACTGAAGCGTTCTTACCTCTGACGCCGAAGCGCAATGCACTCCAAGGATCTCTGTCAAAGGATTCGCCGTCAATTTCAGAAAGAGATCTGTGTCAAGATCCTTTCTGCCCCCAAGGTTTAATTGATTTGACGTCTCCATAGGCCTAGTTGATGTGACGTATAACCTTATGTCAACTCAACTCGGGAGAAGTTATTAGCCGCCCACTCTATAGACGCGACTAATTAACGCCTATGAGCAGACGCCTCACACCGTCAGATGCATACAAGTATCCCACATCTAACGGTTCTCCTCAACTATAAATACCCGAGGTTTGACAAGAGGCAAAAAAGATGAAACTCGTACAACTTAGCTCTCCATAACAAGTAAATATATATTCTCCTCCCCACCATTTTTGCACAACCTTGGCAGTGTTCCGATCACCAGAAGCTAACTCGACCGTCGGAGTGTATGCGACTGTCGTTACCCCCGTTGGTTCCGGTCGTGTGCATCTAATCGTGCATTGACTGTGCGCAGGGAGGATTACATGAAGTAGCTATGGATTGGTCACATGGAGGTCTAATTCGCAGGTCAATAGATTGGCGCCGTCTGTGGAAAACTTCCCGTCCAAAGTTCTACATTCTCCACCGAAAAACCCTTGACTTACCCTGAAAAGAGGACATTCTTGAAAAAGAACAAAGTCGAATTACAACCCAGATCCTCATCACCCTTGAAAAAGGAGTAGATAAGATGAGTTCCAACAATGAGGACACAAACCCCAGGATGGACGTCTTTGAAGAAGAGGTACTCCGAAACAATGTAATTCACCAAAGACCCCATCACCGACGTTGTCGAGGTGAAAGAATGGCCATGCTCACTGAAGGAACGGCTCAAATAGCTGCAGACATGAGAAAGATCACAACTCAAAATATGGCGATGTATGAATTCTTCATGCCAGCCCAAGGTCACCAGGGCGCCTAAATACTCCAAGAATCTTACCCAGCTCGTGAAGTCCCTACGTCTCGTTCCCGATGCCATATGAGCCAGCACAGAGAACCCCCCTCGAGAGAGAAGTGGGTACGAAAGTCACATCCTATGTGCAAGGGAGCCAGTAGCAGAACCACAATTAGGGGACAACTTCCCACTAGAATATGAAGCACAAAGGTCCATCAGTGTCTTTGACCGGATAGGGCGGGACCCTAGTAATAGGGTCCGCTCAGTGGAAAGATCAGTTCGACAAAGGGAACAGCAAGAACAAGCGTCCCTTCTACCTAGAAATAGGAAGGAGAGAAGAAACTTAATTGATTGGGATAGCCGAGGGAGAGCACTTCCACCCCCCAGAACATACAAGATGATGGGGACTCCGAAGGGCCGTGTCGATCTTACGAGATTGATGATGATGATGATGATCTCCCTTTCTTAAGGGAGATTCAAGGCTCCCCAATGCCTGTGAACTTCGTACCACCTAAAATCCTCAAGTATGAAGGAAAAAGGGATCCGGAGAAGCACCTCACGAAGTACATGACACAGATGAGTCTCAGGAGAGCCTCGCCTGCTTTGAAATGCAGAGCCTTCCACCTTACCCTGGCCGGAGCCGCCGAAGTGTGGTACAGCAAGTTGTCTCCTCTAAGCATTAGGAGTGGGCCAGAGCTAAAAAATGCCTTCTTGATCCAGTACCTTTCACATAGAGAAGGAGAGGCCTCAGTGTAACGCCTGCAAGATATGAGACAAACCCCTGGAGAAACGCTGAAAAGCTACCTCGCCAGGTTTACGGACGAGATAACCTACTGCGAATAGATCACTAACAGAGAAGCCCTTTCAGCCTTGAAAGGCGGCCTCAACATGAACACTTTGTTCTGGAGGGATGTGCACAGCAAGAATCTTACAACTTATGATGACTGGTGGAAATGATGAGAGTTGAGATCGTCAGTGAAGAGATGATTGATCACCAAAATTGTGCCACACGGGGACTCCCTTCACCTCAGAGGCAGGTAGGTCGAGGACCCGTAGCGCACCTTGTCACCCAACAATGGACCCAGGCAGGGCATACAATAGCTCCCACGTCCGGACAGGTATTAACTTCTGCCACGCTAAATGCAGTACCGATATTGACATACGAGAATGCCCCTGCTAAGATGAGACCATCTAGAGGTACTAATAGTAGTCGAAAGAAGAAGAAGAAGAAGAAGCGGTCAAACAGACCTTTAGAAGGGACAAGGTTCTGCACCTTCCACCAACTCTATGGACATGACACCAGCGAATGTAGAGACGCTCCGCGACGCTCAGATCGAAATAACCCACATCCCTCCAGGAGGGATGAACATCCCCGCAGATCCGCCTCCTCGAACAGGGCTAAAAGGAGGCATAGAGATCAATCACCCCGAAGAAGAGGATCGAGGGACAGAGGAGAGTCTAGACAGAGAGATCGGGCCCCATTTTCTGGAGGCCAAATCATCAGAGAAATTGACACGATCATCGGGGGACCTCACATCGACGGCAACACTAAAAATGCCCAAAGGAACTACACAAGGAAAGTAAAAGATCCACCGATGCTCACGAACATCGTCAACCAATCCTAAGAAGCCAACAGGATGGCCCCGATTACCTTCTCCCAAGAAGATACACAAGGAGTTCACCACCCCCATTGTGACGCATTGGTAGTAAGAGCCATAGTAGCAAGAAATGGACTCAAACGCATGCTTGTCGACAATGGCAGCTCGGTGAACATACTATTTGGCTCTACCTTCAACTAAATGCAAATTGAACACGGGCTAATCCCCATGACTTACCCACTATTTTGATTTACTGGAAACAACATCATCCCACGAGGATGAATTACTCTGCCCGTCAAGATGGGTTTAGCTCCCCTAGTGGCCCAACATTTCATGGAGTTTTTGGTAGTAGACCACAGGTCAGCCTAACACGGAGTATTGAGCAGATCTACCTTGAAAGATCTTTGGGCTGTCACCTCTATACATTACTTGTGTATGAAGTTCCCAACTGAGCAAGGAATTGCTACAATTCGAGGTGACCAGATAGGCTCCAAAGCATGTTATCTAAACTCTCTGCGAAAATCAGAGCCCCGCACTGTTAATGTAATCATAACGGAGATAGCGAACGAATCTGACCTGGATGTAGAAATGCTCAACACCCCTGAAATAGAGCATACCTCTGAACAGGAGGAAGACGTCGACATGGAAGAGGCCCTTGAAGAAGGGCACCCTCTTAACGAATTAGACCCCCGAATAACTGGTTCAGAACTAAACGTGACCCTAATGGAAGAACTTGAAACTTTCTCCATCAACCCAAAGGACTCCAGTCAGGTCCTGCGAATAGGAAAGACGTTGTCTCCTGAAGCGAAAGAACAAATGATAAGCTTCCTGAAAAGGAACATGGATGTCTTCGCTTGGAAGCACGAAGACATGGTAGAAATAGACCCAAGGATCAGTTGCCATCGCCTAAACATCAACGCCTCTTGTGCCCCACATCAGCAAAAAAGACGAGCCCTCAACCCAGAGAGGTACGAGGCGCTCAAAGACGAAGTCAATAAGCTTAGCCGAAGTGGCTTCATTAGAGAAGCCATTTATCCGAAGTAGATATCCAACTCGATCCTTGTGAGGAAGCCTAGCGGGAAATGGAGGGTGTGTGTAGACTTCACGAACTTAAACAAAGCATGTCCTAAGGATAGCTTCCCACTACCAAGGATAGACCAACTTGTGGATTCCAATGCCGGACATGAACTCTTGAGCCTCATGGATGCGTACTCAGGATACAACCAGATACCTATGTTTCGACCTGATGAGGAGACCACGTCGTTCATCACAGATAGAGGACTATACTGCTACAAAGTCATGCCCTTGGGATTGAAAAATGTGGAAGCTACATATTAGAGGCTGGTCAACATGATGTTTGTCGAACTAATTGGAAAAACCATGGAAGTCTACGTGGACGACATGCTAGTCAAAAGCATCCAGATGAATGAACAAGTAAGTCACCTCGACCAGACCTTTCAGATTCTTAGGAAATACAAAATGAAATTGAACCCCCTCAAATGCACCTTCGGCGTGGCTTCGGGTTAGTTTTTGGGGTACAATGTGAACCAAAGGGGAATCGAAGCAAATTTGGTAAATATTAGGGCCTTACTGGAAATGAGGTCGCCTCAGAAGCTGAAGGAGGTTCAGTGTCTCAATGGTCGGATAGTTGCGCTCAATCGCTTCATCTCCAGAGCCACTGATAAGAGCCTACCCTTCTTCGAAGTGTTGAAGCAAGGGAAGAAGTTTCAATGGACCGATGAGTGCGAGGAAACCTTTCAAGCGTTGAAGAAACACTTAGGAGAGGCGCCTCTATTATCCAAACCTAAACCACAGGAATCACTACTGATATACTTGGCACTCTCCGACAAGGCGGTCAATGCAGTCATAGTTAGAGAAGAAGACGAGCATCAATTATCGGTATACTATGTCAGCAAAGCACTACTCCCGACAGAAAATCGATACCCGGGCATGGAAAATCTGGCACTTGCCCTCATCACAGCGTTAAGAAAACTGAGGCCATACTTCTAGGCCCACTCAATCGAAGTTCTCACCAACTTTGGGCCGTCTGCTAAAATAGGCAATTGAGCTCAGTGAGTTTGACATACTGTTCCGACCCAGACATGCCATCAAGGGACAAGCCCTTGCAGATTTTGTGGCTGAATCTCCCATAGCACTAGTAATGGAGGCAGCAATGGAGCCAGCCGAGCCCCCAACATGGAACTTGTTCGTGGATAGATCCACAGGAGAAACTGGCTTCGGAGTTGGGATCGTCTTGGAAAGCCCAGAAGGCCACTAGCTAAATTGCGCAGTAAGGTTCGGCTTCAAAGCCTCGAACAGCACTGCCGAATATGAGGCCCTTCTAGCAGGTCTTAGATTCGCAAAAGAAATTCAGGTCAAAAGGCTCCTAGCAAGCAGCGACTCTCAACTTACTGTGAGTCGGGTCAACGGGAACTTTGCCACCAAAGACAGTAGCATGGATGCATATTTAAAATTGGTCCTGGACCTAATCCCACATTTCGAGAGGTTTGAATTAATCCAAGTCCCACGCCTCGAGAACACTCATGTAGATGCCCTGTCAAAATTGGCCAGCAGCAAAGACTCAGAGCTGCTAAAGATTGTCCCCATTGAACGCTTGTCGAAGCCCTCCATCTCTGAAGGTGAAGAGTTGTTATGGATAGAAAGTACCCCAGTAGGGATGCAACCCATCATGGCCTATCTCAAGGATCAACCGCTACCAGCTTCAAGAAGCGAGGCGAGGAAGTTAAGAAGGAGAGTCGCGCACTTCGTCCTACAAGAGGATGTCTTCTACAAAAGAGGATTTGCCTCACCACTTCTCTGATGTGTAGAAGGGGAAGAAGCCACGTATATACTCAGGGAGATCCTTGAAGGGATCAGCGAAAATCACTCCGGAGGAATGGCTCTGGCACACAAAGTGCTTCGACAAGGCTACTTCTGTCCAACCCTGAAAAGGGATGCTTGCTAAGTCGTTCAGAAATGTGATAAGTGCCAGCGCTTCTCAAATATTCAAAGACAGCCTTCTCAAATTCTCTCCGTAGTCACTAGTCTATTGCCATTCGTTAAATGGGGCATCGACTTTATTGGTCCACTTGCAAAAGGGAGAGGAAGCGCGACTTTTGTTATTGTCCCCATTGATTACTTCACCAAGTGGGTCGAAGCTGAACCTCTTGCCGAGATCACCGAGGCGAATACTACAAAATTCGTCTGGAAGAACATCATTTGTAGGTTCGGCATTTCCTACTCCTTAGTGTCCGACAACGGAAGACAGTTCGGCAACAAGAAGATGCGAGACTTATGCAACGAACTGGGGATAAAGAAGGATTTCTCGACGCCTCATCACCCCCAAGAAAAATGGGCAAGTTGAGGCAGTGAACAAAACCATCAAGCATACCCTGAAAATGAAGCTTGACGCCTCGAAGGGGGCGTGGGTCGATGAGCTTCCCCACGTCCTCTGGGCTATCCGCATAACTAGCCGAACTGCTACGGGAGAGACACCCCTCTCGATGACCTACGGAGCCAAAGCCATGAGCCCTATCGAGGTAGGAGTCGCATCGCATCGTCGGATACACTTCAATGAGATTGGTAACGATGAAGCTCGAATGAGCGAACTCCACCTCCTTGAAGAAAGGAGGGATACCTGTCAAGTGAAACTGGCCAAGTATCAAAGGAAGATGACACGCTATTACAACTCCAAAGTCAGAAATCGAACTCCTCGGTTGGGAGACCTCGTCCTTAGAAGGGTCTTCCAATCATCAAAGCCAACTGGGGCCAGAGTGTTTGGACCAAATTGGGAGGGTCCTTATCGCATCTGCAAGGAGTCCCGACCTGGTACTTTTGAAATTGAAAATATGACAAGGAGAGTACTGCCTAATCAATGGAACATCGAACACTTGAGAAAGTACTATCGATGATGAACGTATGTTCCGATCCGATCTCGATGCTGTCTAATATGTCTTTGTCATGATTCGATCTCATTTGTAACTTCCCTATCTTACTAAGTGCTGAAATTGCCTTAGTGATGAATGATGTAACCTCTAATTAATGATACTTCAGTTCTTTATGTCAAATCAGTTAATGAGTTGTTGCCTCGGTTATTTAATATGTTATTGCTCCAATCTCCTTTTATCGACTGGTTATTGATAAGTGTGCTTATTATTTGCTTAAATACTTTTCATTCATTTACTAAAGTATGAACAGTTCAACACAAGAAAAAGAAGGAAGCACCAATACATGAAAGAAAAATTTTCATTACATTCATCTTAAAATCAAGTTACAAAAAGGGAGGCCGAAGCCATTACAAAAATAGTTCTACTCTACTGGGGCGTCGTCCACTCGGGCTTTTCTCTTAGGGGGCCTATGGAGCTTTCTCGACAAACCTATCAGGTCGGTCTCCAGTAGGCCCACCAAACTCTACCTCTAAAGAGGATATGTCCAGAGTAGGGTGTACCTCTTTTAGCCGACCCAATCGTTATTGGGCACTCCAAGAGGCTCAGTAGTTGGCAAAGTCATCGTACAGGGGATGCTCCTCGAAATGGTCGATAAAGTTTTGCATCGTTACCTCCCCTACCGACTTTATCTCCCCCTTCATGGAGGCAATCTCCTCAGCCTGGGCCTTCACCCTTTGCCTCAGCTCTGCTTTTTCTTTGTTGGAGGCCTCCAGAGCCTCCGTGGCGAGCCTGTGGTGCTCATTGGCATAATCCACTCTTCTGGTCATTGTAGCCACCTGGCACTCCACTTCATAGAGCTCCTTCTTAAGCCGCTCTATCTCCCCCTTGGCAGTCGTCAGCTGGGCCTCGACTTCCTTCCTTGTTTTCTCCTCCTCCAAGGCCTTGGCCCGAGCTTCCCGCATTGCATCCCCGTAATGCATTGCCTTCTCAAGGTGCTTGGCGAGGTCCTCCCTCTTGGCACTGAGGTCTTTCACCAAGCCCTCGAGTTGGATGCTTGTGCTTAGGGCCCGGGCCACACAGGTACTGTTTGCAGCGATAAGGTCTTCGATGGTGCAGGAGGCAGTGTAGTCTCTCCATTCCTCTGTCCAATACTTGTTGTGGACCATCGCCACTGCCTCCATCTCCGGAGGAAGAGCCTCCAGCACCTCTTTCACCAGCTCCTTAGAATTTTTGCCCAATAAGTCCTCATCCTTCGAAGGACGGGCTTTCTTCCTCTTCGGTTGCCTCGGAACTTGGGCAATTGGAACAACAACAATTAGGCCTATAGCCGGGGTAGGAGAAGCCTCAGAGAGTGTAGGTGTCTTCTCCGGGATGGCCACCCCAGTGCGTATGGTGGTCTGCTTCAGAACCGGGGGCGACCTCGCCACTATTGGGTACTTTGAAGGGCCAGCAGACTTTTTGCCCTTTCGCAGCAAGTTGGCCTCCGGATCCTCCGCCACCTCTCTCTCCGTCGAAGGCTAGAGCCTCTTATTGGCATCCACCAGATCCTCCATCTGCTTCTTGTATGCAGAGGAGGAGGTCTTCAAGGCTCTCGCCTCTACCATCATCTTCTGGATGGTCTTAAAATTAGGCATTAGGGGCATCGTCCTGTTAAAGTTATCTGCAAAGAAAAAAGTAAATTATTACAAATGTAAAGGGTCCAAAAAATTACTAAAGAGTATTCACTTCGGGAAATTCACCTTGAGAAGCCATCAGATTTTGCGTCACGAAGTGAATGTTCTTCCTAATGAGCTGGTGGTATGACCTCTTCTTTGGAGGTAGCTGGTAGATGATGCAAATGATATCAAAATCGTCGGTGGATATCTTACACCAAGGAAGAGTGCCTTCAAAAGTAAACAAATAGCAGTTACGATCCGAACCGAAGAAGAATAAACATAAATGCAAAGCAACAGTATTCACTAAGTGTAGAATACTTCGTGGGGACCGTAAGAGGCGCCAAGGGTCTCCCTCCATTGTGTCCCATCTCCCGGTAGCCCAGCACCACGAGCTCTTCCACTCCTTAATATAGCTTGGTAAATCGAGCACGAATGGAGTATGAAAACCCCATGAGGTCAGGTAATACCAGCCCCTGGTCTTATCCCCCCCAGCCGCTACCTTGGAGATGTAGAGGGTCTGGATGACAGAAAAATGCATCTCTACCCCAAACGACGCCTCCTTCCATAACATCCAGGAGCCTGTTATTTGGCTTTAGGAGTTCGAGTTCAACTGGGTCAAAGCTAAAGCATAAGACCTAAAGACTAGGTGGAAGAAATGATGGATCGGGAGCCTAAGGCCAGCCATAAGAATCGCTTCGCTAATTGCTATGCACCCTGGCCTAGGGTAGCAAGCTCTTTCATCGAGTTCGAGTAGAATCAGATCTACACTGTCTGGAATCCTATATTCTGCCCTAAGTCTATCCAGGTCAGCACTTTTTAGCTTAGAAGGGTAATCTGACGCGCTATCAGGCCTCTTTCAGTTATTCTCCCCCCTTCCAATTATCGCTTCGAAAAGTTCGGAAGAGGTCACCAAAACGGGCTCATCCATTCGTACTAATTCCAGCCCCCTCCCCGAGCTACCACTACCCTCAGAAGCCATTTTTTCAGAAATGAAAGATGTCAAATACTTACTGAATCTCACGAAACGAGGGTTCCACAGTCGAAAATGGTCAGGAAACACTGTAAAGTCGTCAAAAACTGGAGTTGTCATCGAAAAATGCTTGAAGAACGCCGAAAAATGTAAGAGTTTTGAGAGCAAATGGAGTTTCTGATTTTGCAAAAGTGAAAAACTCCCCAAACGCTCAAGTCCACCTTTTATAGAGCGTCCCAACTGGTCTCCATCGTTGAATTCAAATGCAATCAATCTAGGCCGTCTGTCGCATCATCAATCTAGACCGTTGAAACGAAACGCCAGATTTGATCTACGCCCAAGATCTAGCCGTAACCCTCACGCTAACGCGAAACGTGTCACCTCGATCACCATCAGCTGTCTACAATAAGTAGCCGCAACAGCCTTTTCTGGAAATGGGCATCGCACACAACTGTCGCCTTAGAAATATGCGACAACTGTCAAATCATTTAATGTCAGAAATATTCGCCTCAGATTGAGCAAATGAGCTCCTCACTCAACTTTACAAAGCTTAGACACACCTGACACGAAGTCCCCTGTGGGTCATCACCTCAGTAGCTACGTTTCCTCCTAAGCTTTACAAAGCTTTAGCCATCTCCCAACGCGTTGTCCCCTGTAGGTCAGTGCACCGGTAGCAGATGAGTTCCACACAACTTTACGAAACTTAGATGCACCTGACACGAAGTCTCCTGTGGGTCATCACCTCAGTAGCTACATCCCCTCCTAAGCTTTACAAAGTTTAGCTATCCCCCAACGCGTCGTCCCCTGTGGGTCAGTGTACCGATGACAGATGAGCTTCACACAGCTTTACAAAGCTTAGACGCACCAGAAGCGGAGTCTCCCGTGGGTCATCGTCTCGGCATCTACGTTCCCTCCTAAACTTTACAAAGTTTTAGTCATCTCCTAATGCATTGTCCCGTGTGGGTCAGCGCACCGGTGGTAGATGAGTTCCACACAGCTTTACAAAGCTTAGACGCACCAAACGCGAAGTTCCCTATGGGTCGTCGCCTCGGTAGCTGTGTTTCCTCTTAAGCTTTACAAAGCTTTAGCCATCTCCCAACATGTCGTCCCCTATGGGTCAGCGCACTGGTGGCAGATGAGCCTCCTCACTCAGTTTTACAAAGGTTAGAAGCACCTGATGTGAAGTTCCCTGTGGGTCATCGCCTCAGTAGCTACATCCCCTCCTAAGTTTTAGCCATCTCCCAATGCGTCGTCCCCTGTGGATCAGTGCACCGGTGGCAGATGAGCTCCACACAGCTTTACGAAGTTTAGACGCACCAGACGCGGAGTCTCCTGTGGGTCATCGCCTCGGCAGCTGCGTTCCCTTCTAAGCTTTACAAAGCTTTAGCAATCTCCCAACGCGTCGTCCTCTGTGGGTCAGCGCACCAGTAGCAGATGAGCCCCTTACTCAGTTTTACAAAGTTTAGGCACACCTGACACGAAGTCCCTTGTGGGTCATCGCCTCGGTAGCTGCGTCCCCCCTAAGCTTTACAAAGCTTTAGCCGTCTCCCAACGCACCGTCCTATTGGCCAGCACATCGGTTACGGATAAGCTCCTTCCTTAGGCAATAATGAAGCTTTAGCGCGTCTGTCGAAGATATATCCCGACCTTCATCTCTTCGGTGAACACAGAAAACCAACCCACAAGCTCTCCCAAACCACGGTTCCTATCCCGAGGCACGCATACCCGATCGGAAAAACAAGTTCACCCATGATATAAATATTCATGCCTAAACTTGGGGGACCACTGTTACGCCCCTATCTGAACCACTTCGAAAAGTCTGCCACTGCGTCATATGAGGTGTCCAACACCC